TATATGCATTGAGTTTTTTATGGTTGCCTCCCATTGTTACAGCCTAGTGTTCATCACTGGGGTATTTTTCTTCTCCAGAAAAAGTATCGTCAGGATGTAAGCGCTCTGAAGTTCACCAGTGTTGAAGACACTCCAGAGATGAACCAGGCCAAACTAAGCAACAAACTTGCAATTGATGTAAGTTCAGCTGACATTTGTAGCCTCAGCCATATGTTATTATTGCGTGATATAGCATACAACAAACATGTTGTTACCTAGCTTGTTGAGTTTTTTTGGCCCACTTGACATATGCCACAAAAACCACTGTAGCACCTAGAAGTTCACCAGATTGAGTTATTTTAAGGCTTGTTTCATTGCGGTAAACTGATCTTTAGTGCTGTTTTTTCTTCTTTACAGAGGTTGTACAGGGAGAAGGGTGAAAACATGAAGCACAACTACACACTGAGTGGAGAGTTACCCGAGTTGGTGCAAGCCAAGCTGAATGCCATGAATATCAGTGAGGTAAAACCATACATAGGCACATTTAGTCAGTCAAAAAGTTCTTCTCTGCGGCAGGTTTTATATAATGTTTTCGCGGTGAAACTGAGTTTGTCCATCCGACACATTTCAGACGCAATACAAGGAATCTTGGAAGAAGATACGTGATGGCGGTTACAAGCTGCGTCTGGATGCCATTCCTTTCCAATCTGCCAAAGCATCTGCAGAGATCCTCAGTGATGTGAGAATCCATTTCATCATATGAAACCACATTATTACTATTTTTTAGCAGAAAGTTGAACTGAAACTGCTCTTGTCAACACAGATTTTCAAATAACTCTCCTCACTAAGCTTTGTGTGTTTTGTGTGTCATTTCAGCAAAAGTACAGAGAAGAATTTCAGAAGACCAAAGGGAAGATGATCGGCCTGAAGGGACTGCAGGATGACTTGAACATTGCTCACTCAGTCTATGCCAGCAAGCTACAGAGTGATGTGAGTACTTAGTTTCTGCAGTTTAGCTGATAGAAATCATATTTTAATGATTATACAATATTCTCGTAATCACATTTCCCCATCTAGATCAAGTATAAGAAGGACTCTGCAAAGGAACTCTCAAAGTTCCACCTACCCATGGACATGCTGGAGGTTGCACATGCTAAAAAGGCACAGTCATTAGTCAGTGACCAGGACTACCGGCTGTCCCTGCATCAATACACCGCGCTGCCGGATGACTTGAAGCTGCTAGCTGCCAAGAAAGCATACACCCTGCAGAGTGAGGTGAGAGTGACGGCAGACAGCTGCTCGCAGCATCTTTTATTTATAGATTTAACAACGCTCTTCCGTCACAACTGAGCTTGCTGTGAAAAAGAGCACAAAGGCAACATTATTTGTACTTTACAATTTTAAACCATTAAATCAATGAACACATGAAATGCTGTATTTGTAGATTGAAAAAAAAACCTTTGCAGTGGTTGTTTCTATGTAATGAAACTTGTTTTTACATTCAGAGATGTGATCAAGATTTTCAGTTTTTAGTGCCAGTTGTTGACGCCAAGCTATTTTAAAGAAACAGCTAGTATCTGATACTTAAAGTGTGTTTGAGGCTGGTTACAAGGCTGGTTTATTTATCTCTGTAACAGACAGCACACGTCTACCAGGCAAATTGATTATTAAAGGCTGAAACTTGTACTAGATAGTAACTGACAGTAATAAAATGGAATCACGTTTGCTTCTGCAATATTCCTATTTTATTCTTTTTTGTCCACCCTACAGAAATTGTATCGCTCTGACCTGAACTACCTGCGTGGCACAGCCTGGATCGCCACTGGTGCTCTGCAGATTGAAGGATCCAAGAAGGCCACAGACCTCATCAGTGAAGTGAGATATCCCCTATGCTTCTCATTTACTTTCTGCCCTTTTTAATGCTTTCAGTGCATGTTAGGTTGCCTATATTCACCCTATCTTGATGCATGATCAAGGGAAATCGTATAGTTGATTCTGGATCTGACGTTTTCAGTGGTAAAAATGTTTCACTATAATTTTTCTGGGTTTAACTTTTGATTTTGTTGGTGGGAATTCAAAACATTGACTTGATTTACACCAAAAACTAACTGTTTAATTCTCTCTGCAACAGAAAAAGTACCGTCAGCAGCCGTACAACTTCAAGCACACCTCTGTTGCTGACTCTCCAGATATTATCCATGCCAAACACAGTTCACAGATTGCAAATGAAGTAAGACAATAACGTTACTGTTTTAGTTTCTCCTTTTCTTGTAAATGTTTTTTTGCTTGCTTAAGCTGCAACGTTCCTTTTTAAGATTACTAGAAATAACCAGGCATGTTACTTTGCTGGAAATATTTGATGATTTGAATGATAATAAACTGGGTTTTATCTCTCTGTCCCAGCGTTTGTATAAGGAGAAAGGGGTGAATGACCAACACAGCTACACTATTACATCTGAGAGGCCAGAGATTACACAAGCAAAGATCAATGCAGCCAACTTTAGTGAGGTACTTAACAGCACACAGTGATCATAAGCATGTTCTTTTCAAATGTTATATGTATATACAATATAGATAACTTTTTTTCTTTGCAGATAAAGTACAGAGAGTCCTGGCACACTCTCAGGGCTCAGGGATACAAACTCACCATGCAGGACATCCCCTTCCAGGCTGCCAAGAGCTCCACGGGCATCGCCAGTGATGTAAGATCACATTTGTTGAACAGCACAGCAATACCCAAGCATTTAAAGAGTTAAATCAACCATGATTAAGTTTTTAAAAAAATGCTCACTCTAAGCTCTGGTAAAGTAGGAATCGTATGCAGGGTTTTGTATCCTTTTGATTAAAATTTGCAGATCAGTTCCAGTTGATTAATCTAACTTGTGTTTCTGCAGTACAGTACAAACACAACCACCTGCTGGAAAAGGGGAAGCACATTGGGGTCAAATGCATCATGGACGACCCACGTATGCTGCACTGCCTGCAGGCCGGCCGATTGGCCAGCGACCAGGAGTACCGCAAGGATGCACTGACAACCAGCGGACAGTACCACCTCACGCCAGACATGATTAATCTGGTGGCGGCTAAGAATGCGCAGGCACTGGCCAGCGACCAGGACTACAGGACAAGGCTGCACGAGTACACGGTGCTCCCTGACGACATGAAGGTCAAATGGGCCAAAAAGGCTTATGAACTGCAGAGTGAGGTGAGAGCTGGGAGTGAAGAAGAGATCAAATTACTAATAGGAAGTGCAAATGTCCTGACTCATCTATTGCTCTATTACTTTATGTTTAGAAACTCTACAAGTCAGACCTCAATTTCATGAAAGGGGTAGCCTGGGATGGAGTGGGTGCGCCTCAGCTGGAGTCTGCCAAAAAGGCTGGAGAACTTATAAGTGATGTGAGTAATGCACCGAAACCTGTTAATTTATAATATTGCTGCAGTTTACTGTCAAATTAAAGTAATATATCCATCATGTTTATGGTTTTAATTAAACTCCTGTAAGGTTATGAGCTCCAGCTCTGACTGCATATGAAGCTGAATTTAGCATTTATGCAGTATTGCTTTAAAAGCTTTCGCCATCTGTGTCTAAATGTGTGTGTGGTCTTCCTTCTTGCAGAAGAGGTATCGCCAGCTGCCAGACAGCCTGAAGTTTACCTCAGTGACTGACTCTCCTGATATAGTCCACGCTAAGACTAGCTATCAGCAGTGCAGTGAGGTAGGAAGAAGATGGAAATGTTTATAAGAGAGAACTGATTCAAAAACCTGATTCTGCTCTAAGTCTTTTGCTGTCTTAACTGCTGGCGGTGATATTTCTACCTTGTTCATGCCTGTGCCTCTCATCCACTACAGAGGCTGTACAAATCTGGAAAGAATGACGACATGCATAAATACACCTTGCATCCAGATGATCCAGACTTCATCAGAGCAAAGATGAATGCCCAGCAGATTAGTGATGTAAGGCACATTTATCAGCTAAATACTTACAAAAAATATTTTTTAAAATCCTTTAAAAAAAGATGATAATATCTCTACATAACATTTTAATCTTGAGCATTATTTTTCCGTGAAGAAAGTTTACAAGGCGTCTGGGGAGCAAGTGAAGACATCGGGCTACGACCTGAGGCTGGATGCTATTCCCTTCCAAACTGCCAAGGCTTCCAGAGAAATCGCTAGTGATGTGAGTTATGGGCCTTGTTGCATTGAAATACATTTTCGAGGCTATTATTCCAGGACAAACATTTTTATACTATACAGTAACAGTATTAAACAAAGGCATTTAAAGGATGCTGACCCTGTATTTCTCCCTGCAACAGTTCCACTACAAGGAGGCTCACCTGAAGGAGAAGGGCCACCAGGTAGGCCTGCGCTGTGTGGAGGATGACCCTAAGATGTTGCACTCTCTGGCAGCAAGCAAACTCCAAAGCAACTTAGAGTACAAACGTCAGTCCAAAGAGGAACGTGCCCACTACAACATCCGCCCAGATCAGCCCGAGTTCCTGCACGCCAAAAAGAGCCAAGCTCAGGCTAGTGACCTCACCTATCGACACAAGCTCCACGACTACACCTGTGACCCCGAACAGCTCAATGTCAAGCATGCAAAGCAGGCCTACAAACTGCAGAGTGATGTAAGTTGTGATGCTCGTGCAACTGAGCTGGATCTGAAAATATAATTACTGTCATTTATTGATGTGTCATTTATTGATTGATTGATATGTATTTAGGGAAGAAGCACTGTTAGGTGCTCAAAAAGCAAATGTCTTGTGCAACAGTGGGACCTATGGCATGAGCCAAATTCAGTGTTTACTTTTAGTCACACGATGATCCTGAAAAAACAAGCATGTGTACTTTTAACACGGACAATTGCCCCATGGATTAACATTGGGGTCATTTTGTGGTTGCTGGTTAGAGCGTTCTCATTATTGAACTGGTCTGTGTATTGGTCTAATAATGAGCCACAATTCTGTGAATTCTTTTACCCTCTTTGAGTTTATTGTTTTGGTTTTCCAGTTTACAGCTCCCATATTTTTTGGACCTTTTGAATCATTATTGCAGTTTTAAGCCACAAAGTACAACTGCTCAGTCAGAGCAACTTATTTTTGGCTTGTTTTGTTGCCTTAATCAGAATCATAATTCATGTTTTTTTAAATTAAGAACTGACTATAAGCCCAGGCTTAACCAAAACCTTTCAAAGATTGAATGAAATGTATTGATAACATTAACCCCAAGTTATTTAAGAATGCCATGTATTAAATTTGGGTCACTTGCTTATTTGTAGTAGAAATATACCACTGTCATTTCTTTTCTTTTTTATTCAAGGTGAACTACAAGTCGGACCTGAACTGGATCAGAGGAGTGGGCTGGACCCCTCCTGGTTCTCATAAAGCAGAGCTTGCACGCCGGGCTGCAGAGTTGGGGCTGGCTGATGGAGTTAGCGCTGATGAGGCTATTGCGAAGTATCAGCAACACATGATGGTAAGTTCATCATGGAATGGTGACACTAGTGATTAGTACAGTGTCTTTAAAAAACAAAAAACATATATATATACATA